TTGTACCAAATCATGATGCAGTCACCTGTTGACATCACCTGTTTCTAATGGAATCACCATTTCATTATTTTACCTCATTACTGGCCTTGAAATGCAGCTGTCCCAACTTGTTTTGTTTCAATGTCCTACAGGACACAGATGGTTTACACATCACTGTTTTCAGTTTTAATTTAGATTTTACATTGTATCTACAGTGCGGTCACTTTATGAGGAAGGCTCAGACTGTGTTATCACATTAGGATGGCACTACATGACTGGCACTTTACATCACTTCCTCTCAAAACTGGCACAGTGTGTGGCATCGTTTCCTGAGAGTCAACTATTGAACCAGATTTTGTGAGCTTGTTTTGATCGCCACATCCGAAACTGGCCAGACAATCACACTGGCCCTCTCCTTCAAACTTCTGCCATATTTGCATGAAACATGAATTAACATTAATAATCAAGTAAATAGACTTTAGACAGAAAACTACTTGCAAAGAATCAGGAAGTCAACAATGGCAACCGCAGCATCAACGTGCCTGACAACATCAAGTTTACAGTTCTACCCCTGAAGCAGAAGGTTCACCATTGTATACACGGTACACAAGCTTACCAGCCAGTCCAACTTCCCCCAGTAAGTTAATAGTTTATGTTATTAAAATCAAGACGCACCCATCCACTTTCACAATTAACCTTGTCCAGCAAGCTAAGCTAGTCTGAGCAATGCTTCATAGACAGTGGGATGCATTTGTTGTATCCAAGAAAAAAAATATCACCCAGGAGTTTAAATCAACTAAAAAGAAGTAGATTCAAACACATTAACAGTGTAACTTTTCAGTACAGCACTCTGAATGTCTGCATGTTGACGCAGCATCAGTTTATTGCAGGTTGACCATTTGATTTAAGGGCCACAATCATCAAGATGTTCAAATGAATGGCATTTACCAACATGTTTGCCTTGAACAACGTTCTGTCCTAACTGCCAAACCACAGTCAGAGGTGTGATCAAGTCAGCTTTCACATCAGATAAGAGACAAGTCAAAGTAGGTTTCAAGAAAACAAGGTGAGGTCCATATAGTGTAAGTAAAAAACTAAAAATAATACAATTTAAATTATATTAAACATATATATAATTGAATTAACTCAACGCCTGCCCAGTGTCAACCTTATTAAATTAATTACAATGATTTCTACAACATAAAACAAACATTCACCAGCCACTTTATTAGGTACACCTATACAATTATATGCACTTCAATGCAACACCTCCACCTTAACATCGGTGTATATGAAGCTCATAATGTTTCAGTTTTTGGTGAAATTGTCATAAATGTATAAATGCAGTTAGATGTTTATTATTGAGGTCATAGTTAAAGGTGTTGTTGTACTGGACTACATTATATTTAGAGGTGTCTATATTTTTGTCCTCCCTGGATACATACATGAGAGGATCAGAATATTAGGAATATATATTATGACAATTTCACCAAAAACTGAAACATGTTGAGATGTTAAGTGTTGGATTGAATTAGATTCAATTGTACCTAATAAAGTGGCCATTAGGTGTATATTAACATAAATGGAGCTATGTAATGTAGAAACTAGCCAGCCACAACAACATTCAAATCTGTACATAAAAGATTTGGCAGTAAAAGCTAAGTTCAGTGTATTGAGTCACGTCCCACTCAGTGTGTAGTTTCCTAATATGCAGATACAAGTTGAAGCTTTGGTCAGTAATATGATCCAATCACATGATCTGACAATATAATCACATGCAAAACAGAATGAGAAAACTTGTGCTTCCACCGCCACAGGTGTCCAGCAAGTTTAAAGGACATAAAGGAGGCAACAGTAAACATGAACGAAACCAGAGTCAATTATGTTTTATTAAGCTGTTAAAGGTTCATTTACATCAGTCAAATTGTAAATGGAGCAGAAAAACAGACCTACAGTACATTTCCAAGTAATGCTGAGGAAAAAACACTAAAAGACAAACTCTTTTCAGTTACTATCATCAAAAGTGTGAAATATATACATCAAAATTTTAAATAATCTTAAATATATTAAGATAATTAAGAAGGGATAATTAATGTCCCAAATCTGCATCTCTTACATATTTTGCTACGTTCTGGTTTGGATACTCTTCACTGGCCACCTTCTCAAAGCTCAGAGCAGCGAGTGCATTTTGTGCTTTTTATTTGGGGGTGTTTTTGAAACTCATGTTTGCATCAGCCCCACCTATGAAGCTTTAACCGCCCCATAGGCAGGAAGTGTGGTTACACAGTCGTAACTTAGGCACCGGAAGTTGTACTCCCCCTACATGAGTGCAGCATCATCCAGCAGGTTCAAACAGTGCAGGAGGCTGCAGGGGATGGCTGCACACTTCACATGTTTGAATCTGTGTCGGCACTTAGGAGGAAGGTGTGTGTAGGTGTGAGTAGTGTGTGAGAATGTCAATATCAAGTTGAACATCAGTCTTAACTAAAGCATGTTTTTTCAACAGTCAGAAAATTAGAGTTGATGTGAACACCTTCACAGAACTGAGATTTATTTAAACAGGATATCTGAATAGAAAAGTCTAAGTCTATTAAAATACACTGAACAAAATTATAAACACAACACTTTTGTGTTTGCCCCCATTTTTCATGAGCCGAACTCAAAGATCTATGACTTTTTCTATGTACACAAAAGGGCTATTTCTGTCAAATATTGTTCACAATCTGTCTAAATCTGTGTTAGTGAGCACTTCTCCTTTGCTGAGATAATCCATCCACCTTTGTGCA